TTGGTTTTGCGCGCCCCCCCCCCCCCCCCCCCCCCCCCTCTTAGGCAGAGGCTGGAAGTGTGCTTCCCTTTATGCTTTTCGTTTCACTGCAACAAATCGGTCGAGTCCTGTTTATTGTTGTTTGTTTCTTTTTCTTTTTCTTTTTTGCACCACTTTTCTGTCTTTGGATTAATTAGAGCCTAGTTCCTACAGGTTGGCAGGGATACGTTGAAATTTTATGCTTGGGGTTAGGTTGTTACCGGGGAGCCATCCTATCTGTAAGCGATGGGCTAACTTTCCACCGTAAAGGCTGTCAAGACTGGCAGGGGAAAATAGGTGAATTGCTTGCAGAGCCGTACGAGCGTTACTTCTGGGCAGGTAAGGCTAGCTACCGACTCCTTTGGACGCCCTTTTCGGCATTTGAAAATATTACCGACTGTATCACCTGCTTTACTCTGGCAGAGTTCCTGCAAATATTTTGTGATATTTTGACTTACTGAAGTAATCGATCACTGTGAAGGTCTGTGGGTTTGGCTCTGCCGTTACAAGTGTTAGAATAATTTTTTAACTGTTGGAATAATTTTTTTTTTCCTTCACAAATTTGGATTCATGTTTTAATTTTGGGATTGCAAAATATGACTGCATAATGTGTATACAGTTAGTTGACATATTTAAATGGCAGGATTGTTTTGCTTTGGACTGACAGGGTTTTTCTTGCAAATACAAGAGCTTCTAAGACGTTGTCAGCAGCTGCCTGGGTCTCTACAAGTAGTCTAATGTTCTGTCCCTATAATGTGAAAGAAGACATTGTTCCTTTTTTCTGAACTATTATTAAGTTATTAATTTCTATGTATAACACACTTGCCTTGTTGAAGTGTTGTGTGGTGGTTTGTGTTTTTTTTTTTTAAAGCTTTCTGCAAAATAATGGAGTTACATTATCTTTGTGCTACAGCTTGCAAAGGCATTGGGTATTCTGAACACTAGGTGCAGAGATTTCAGTTAATTTGATGGAAACTGCAGGAGTTTAGGGTGTTTCAATTCTTGATTATTTGTGTTTGGGGCAGGAATATTAGAAGATTATATCGCAAGTGCGCACTGGCACTAACATCAGATAGTTACAAAGATTGTTGGTGTTCATTTTTCGTTTGTTTCAGACAACTTTGGATTGTGCCATTCGTTGCAGTGTCTTTCCTTTTGTTTGGGGTCAAATAAAGTGTTTTAGTACTGTGTTGAATTTGTCAGCAATTCAGATCAGTCAGTTACTGGATGAATGTTTTACTTCTTATTTGTCAGAATTGTCGTTAAGATTTGAGAACTCTTTTTGTGTATTGCTTTTCCTTCACCCCCCATCCCCTCTTTCCTTTAAATACTCAGGGTTAATATGACGTTCAAAATGTATGTTTATCTATAAGCAGTAGAAGTGTAAGGTAGCAAAACTTGTAGAAAAATCTCTAATTTGAGATAAGATAGACTAACAGGAGGTGGTGGTTAATTAGAGAGCAAGTAGATAAAGGTTTAGCTTTGAGATATGATCTGTGCATTATAATTTCCAACATAGTAGTCTCTTCCTTTATCAGCCTTACTTTGAAAGAGTCGAGAAGCTGTTTTGCGAGGTTCATAATCCCTCTACAGAAGAGGAAGTTAATTAGCTCCATGCAGGTATTTTAATGAAGGGATGATGGCTACTGAGATCCCGTGCTATGGTATTATTGCCAGGTTAGATGTTTGGTGTTGTGTGGGTTTTTTGTTTTGTTTTTGGGTTTTTTTGTTTTTTTGAGAAGGAAGCTGTCCATGGGAAAAGTATTTTCTCGCAGAACAGTAGCATCCTACTAGGAAGCAGAAGTTTAAGCATTTATTTTTCAAGCTGAAGGAATTTTTCCTCTTGCCAAAATACGTTTAATTCTTTAATGGCAACTACTTGCTACGGATTCTGATTGTCTTTTAAATATTGGTGTGGAAGCATAACAGTTAATGACTTACTAATTCTTGTTAAGCTGTGTTTATTACTGAGAAGCATTCTATTTTGCTAGTTGTATTTTAGTTATCTATGGATATGGCTATTTAGAAGTCCTGTTTTTGCTGAAAATCTTAAAACTCCCTTACAAAGCTAGGCGTACTGAAGGCACTCCCATACAGTAGGCATACTGAAGAATTCTGTAACTATTTACACAGGGGAATTATCAGATTTTCAGTAACAGATGCAAATTCATTCTGATGTTCTTAAAATGTAACAGACAAGGACACTTCTTGGAGAGTATTTAATTTGTTGCCTTCAGTTCTGTTCCCTCTTGTCATTTCCAAATTGTTTTTGCTTTTCTGTTCAATAGGAGTGCATTCTCTGAAAAAAATGTGCTATCTTGTTTGCATGCCACTGAGATTTTTTGTTTGTTTGTTTGTTTGTTTGGTTTAACCAGTGGATTTAATGACAAAGTTTGCTGCCCATGCAAAATACATTCAGCTTCTTACAGTCTCAGTACCTGTCGTGAAAAATTAAATTGCTATTTTTGGAATGTATATGATTGACTTACAGCCTTTCAGTCTTCTTGTACACATTTAACTGTTTATGAAAACCTTGTAGCATAGTTTATACCTCTATAAAGACAGCAGTTACCCACTATGCTGCAGGAATTTAAATAAATGCAGTGAAGGGCATACAGCGTTTCAAGCCCTTTGCTTATTCATCTAGACCATCCTTTGAAATGCACAGTTGGTTAATAACTCTTTTAAGACTACGAAAGTGTTCATCTAGATGTGTTATTCCTCTGGGGCATGCAGTCATTCAGTTAGGCTATGTGTGTCCAACAGATGCCTGTGGAAAGTGAAACAAACACGCTTTAAAATGAAATAACAAGTATTTATTACTTTCAGTAAACTGTACCATCTCTAGTCAAGCTTCTCTCCACTATCCAGTATTACCAATAGTTGACCACTACTGAAATTTGGCTGGTAGTAGCTGTTTAGGTGACAAAAGCAAGAAGTTGTGAAAACTAGAAGTAAGGTGCTCAAAAGGATGTGATTGACACTCCCTAAAAATAGTAGCCTGCATCCCTTTGCTCCTAGAGCCCTGGCAATGTGATTTGTTCGTAAGGCAAATCCCAGAAGTTGCCCACGTTCTCGCACTTAATCCTTGTCAGCAGAAGCGTGACACATGTGGGTCTGAAAAATTATTTAATGATGTCACAATCAAAGTGTCAGCAGCAATAAGGTCACAACACACTGTGAGGCCTGCGGGGCGCTGCCTCCTTGGGGTACCCATGGAGTTCACAGGCAGCTTCACAACACAGCCAGGGTGGGGAAGACGGGGACGGTGACACTCCTTTTCATCCTTTGGGGTGGAGGGGGGACAGAAATCCAATGGTTTTGTTTCTGCAACAGGTTTTTTTGGTCTGCTGTTGGAGGTCTGCAGCCGGGGGTGTGACAACTCTTGGGACGCCTTGAGAAGGCAGGTTTATCTTTGCAGGCTAGACAAGGCAATAAATGGTGAGTTAGTGTTACCAAGGGTATACTTCAAATTGTTTGCCAGTTATAAGTGTCTATATATACGTATGTATATGGTGCATTGTAAAGATTGATTACCCGAGCTTAAAAATCTAATGTTCCAGCTGCAAGACTGGCTGCTAGAATGGCCTTTGCTATCTTTCACAGGTTGCAATGACATGAAATGACATTCTGCGTTTGAGTGGTGGGGAACGGGCATTACTTACTTCATTTCAAAAACAATGCCTTTTATTTTTTTTCTCCCTCCAGGCAGTTCACTTTTATGGACATAGTATCCACTCTTTTAATGCGTACAAAACATGAATGTCTTAACTGCTTAGCAAGAAGAGAGTGATAGATGTAAGGGTGTATTATATTGTTGGTCTTAGGGATTAGCAATTGTTCTAATCTCTTGTATGCTAAACACATACTGACTGAATAGAGACCTGTGGTTTCAGTAATTCTGTGCTTTTAAAACTTCAATTAAAGGAAGTAGTAATTAGTTTAATGATTTTGAGAAGAATGCATTTATTTTAAACAGTTGTACAGAATAAGTATATAGTAAAAAGCAGCCTGAGCCATCATGTCTGCAGTAGGGGGTGGTGGTGAAGGAAGTGCTAGTTAGGATAAGAACACCTGTAGTTTCTCCAAAGTATGACTAGGATTTATGCCCACCAAATATTGCTTGTTGGAGTTGCAAATTATTTATCCTAAGATTTTAGCCAGGCATTTAATATCTTTTAAAGAACCCATGCGTTTCAGCGTATGGTGGTAAGAATAGCTGAAAGCCTCCTAAATCAAATAGTTCTTGCATGACGTGAAGTTGTAGCTAGAGGTGATCGTCTGCCATTGTTGGAAGCAAAGCCTGTTTGTTGTAGACAGGTTAGTTAAGGAAAAGAGGGCTAGTACTACACTTGTTCAGTATCAACCTCTCTGCCTTCTGTACTCTTTGGATGCTTGGTTTTTATCATATAATTTGCCTGTGGTTTAATAGCTGGAGAGTTAAACTAATTGTCAATTCCCGTGCTGGTTGTTTTTTGGCTGAAAAAGTGCTGACTTCGTTGTAGTTGTCAGTAGTCTCTCAGATGCCCAAATGTGTCTTAAAATTGTATGCTGACAATAAAACAGTCTCATTGTGGTTGTGATTAGCTTTAAAACATGTTCAGTGTATCTGGTATGTGATTCAAAAAGTGGCTTTCTTACTGACTTCTGTGGTGGGTTAACCTTGGCTGGCTGCCAGATGCCCACCCAGCCGCTTGCTCGCTCTCCCTCCTCAGCGAGGCGGGAGGGAAAATAGGATGGAAGAGTTTGTGAGTTGAGATGAAGGCAGGGAGATTGCTTACCAGTTACCGTCATGGGCAAAAGAGACTTGACCATGCAGTCAGTCCATGTCAGCTTCTCTCTACACTCCTTCTTCCTCATGCTGTTCCCCTGCTCCAGCCTGGTCTCTCTAGGGGCTGACAGGTAATCTCTGCTCAGGTGTGCAGAGCTCCTGCTCCTACTCCTCCTCCCCTCTTGCTCTCGCCTCTGGGCTCGCAGGGCTGTTTCTCACACTTCCCCCCCCCCATTGCTCACAGACAGTGTTTTGCCCTTCCTTACACACGCTTTCCCCGAGGCGCTGCCATCTTGGCTGCGGGGCTCAGCCGTGCCCTGTGGGTGGGTCCGTTGGAGCCGGCTGTGTCCAGCTCGGGGCAGCACCGGGCTCTCCTCGCAGAGGCCGCCCTGCAGCGCCCCCCGCCAGCACCTGGGCACCTGCACGCAGTACAACCTCTGAAGAAGGAAGCCATTATGTTTTGAGTATTTCTTTTGGTAGACCTGCAATACTACTATATATAGCCCTGAAGTTTATTCCCGCTGACACTGGGGGAAGCTGTGGGAAGGTATACTGAAGTATAATAAGG